ACTGGGAGAACAAGGTGCACAGAGTCATGGAAAAGATAGGAGAGTGACCTGTCTATCGAGTTCAAGCTGAGATGGGAGACCGAACTGTACGTGTCTTGCATCGCAACCATTTACTGCTTGTAAATGACCTGCCAATTGAACAAGATGAGCTGACTCAAGAGACACAAAAGAAACGCCACAGACAAAACTATTGCCGAACGAACCACAGACCAGTAGCCGAGCACTGCTCTGATGATTCTGCTGAAGAAGAAGAAGAATTCTTTTATAATCTTCGACCGTTACCTGTGTATGAAAGGAGAATGGCTCAACTTCAGCCATCCCAGCCCTCCATACAACCCTACTGCCGTCTCCGAGCTGTAGCACCAGAATTCCAGCCTGTGAGACGAGTGGAGGAATCAGAGAGCATGCAGCAAGAATCTGAGCCATTGGCAGGATCAAACCCAAACCAAGCACCAATACAAGCTGACACACTTGCTTGTGAGGAAATCCAGGAACTGCCCGAAAAAGACAACCAGCTTCACGATGCAAGTCCAGAGCAGCCCGTAGAAGAGGATGAACCTGACCCAGAGCTGCCTTTGAGGAGGTCCACTCAAGCTGCAAAATCCAGAAAAATATTCACATATGAGCAGCTGGAACAGCCTTCATATCAGGTTGGAGATCAGGAGTCAATGCAGTGTTTACATGTGGGCCTTACCCCATAGCAGCCTATCCAGCGTTCACCGAAGCCTGCTATTACCCAAGACCAGTACTTTGGACTTGTTAGACTTTGACAAAGGACCAACACAAAACTCACCACACAAAAGGTGTATATAGATACAAACACTCAGAGACATGGACTAGACAGTAATAGACAGCAGACCTTTTGTGACGATTTAGAATAACATTTATTAGTTTAGTTCCAGATGTCCGGAGACATCTCTTAAAGCAGGGGAGAGTGTAGAGGGTTAAGAAAATGCCTCTATCTAAAGTTCATGTAAAACAGACCCCCCCCCGCTATTTTTTGATGATCAGAACTACTCTAATAGCTTTCCAAACGTTTCTATTTTGTCTTATATGCTGTTCTGTCATTTAACCAGGAGATGGCGCTCTACTCCCTTGTGGATTGCTGGGAGAAACACTAGTTTCAAGCTCTGAGCATGCGCAGTTCAGAAATAAACTTGCGCTGGCTTCAACTAGGCACAAATTTTTTTCTCGTTTCTCCACTGATCCACAGGTACCTTAAAACGTTTCTTAAACACTTCAGTGTATATAAATACTGGTAGGAATAATCCTAGAAGCATTTTGTGAGTAGTTTTAACATGTTGTGTTGGGCATATTTCCAGATTTGTTGCAAATCTAGATAATCTCTTCTGGTATTTATTCTGGCCATCTTGGTCTTTGAGTCAAATACCAGCTTTAAGTGACCTTGAGAACCCATGCTACAGTCATCTTGTATCCTGCCGAGTGTTTTGAATGGAAATTGAACTTCAGTTGGATTCCTGATGAACCATATCATCTCATACGGAAGTGAAAGAGATTCGGAGCATGGAATGGACACTGGGAACTGGTGAGACTGTTTCATTATACCTGTTTAAAGCTTGCTGCAGAGGAACTTGTTTTGCTCTAATATGTATTATATTTTTGTTGTTGTTTGTTTGTTTGTTTATGCATTATTCAAATGGTATGAACCTGTATTTAGTTGGAACTGGTTGTGTGAATATGCTTGGTGGACATGTCTCAAAATAATTCTATAAACAAACAAAGGTAAAATATTGTCTGTTTTGAACTAAATATCAGTAAGCATGTACGATTATTTCTTATTCGGAAAGGTAACCCACGCCTGATGTGTTACAACATCAGTGTCACTGCAGTGCTGAGAATAGTCCACCACCCAAATAATACCTGCTCTGTGGTGTTCCTGTGGAGACCTTTGAAGAACAGGGTGAAAGGCGGCTAACAGTGTATGCAGAGAAATGGATGGACTACAGTCTGTAATTGTAGAACTGCACATATATGGTAAGTGGAGCTGATAAAATAGACAATGAATATACAAACAAGGTAGATACCATTTTTACCTATCAACCTAAACCCAGTCACCCATAATGATGAAGTGAAAACTTTGTTTTAGAGGTTTTGGGAAAAAAAATGAAAATCAAAAACTGAAATATCTTTTTTTTTCCCAGAAGTATTCAGATCCTTTGCTGAGGCACTACAAATGGTGGTCAGATGCATCCTGTTTATTTTAATTATCCTTAAGATGTGTCTAGAACTCAACTGGAGCCGACCTGTTGCAATCTGAATTGACTGGAAAGACACACACCTGTCTGTAACGGCCCACAATTTATACTGCATTGCCAGAAGAAAAACCAAGCCATGACCTGAAGTCTGAGGAACTGTTGGTGGATCTCTGTGATTAAATTGTGGCATAGTATAGATCAGGACAAAGATATAAAACAATCTAAGGTTTTGAGTGTTCCCATTACCACAGTGGTCTCAATAACTTATGGAAGAAGCTTGGCACAACCTTGAACTTTTATGGAGCTGGCTGTCTGGCTAAATGGGGCATCTAGGCAAGAAGGGCCTTGGTCAGGGAGATAAGAAAGAACCCAACCGTCACTCTAAAAGAGCTCCAAAAGTCTTGTGCAGAGATGGGAGAACCTGTTGGACAGACATCTCTGCAGCACTTCATAAATCAGGCCTTTATGGCAGAGTGGCTAGACGGAAGCCTCTGTTGAATAAAAGGCCCACTTGGACTTTGCTAAATAGCATGTAAAGGTCTCATAAGGAAAAAAATTCCTGGTCTGTTTACTGTTTATACAAAATGAAATGCAACACCTCGTTTTGCAGCTTTACTGTTATTCAAGATGGAACTTCTAGCTAACTGTCATACAAATATGAAGCCTGGGCTATGCTAAAAACCATACCTGCATTGTGACAGAGTAGGTAGACAAAGTGGGATGCTATGTGAATGATAAGGTAGCTCCAAGTTTAGCTTAAATGTTCGAGTGTCTATGCTGTTTTACTAATATTGTTATTATTACAACCCCATTTCCAGAAATGTACATAAAAACAAAATGCAACTATGTACAAATCATTTAAACCCTATATTTAATTGAAAATAGTACAAAGACAAAATATTAAATGTTCAAACTGAGAAATGTTATTGTTTTTGAAAAAAATATGCCCAGTTTGAATTTGATGCCAACAACACATTCCAAAAAAGTTGGGACAGGGGCAACAAAAGGCTGGCAATATTGTGTAATGCTAAAAAAAACACCTGGTGGTTAATTGACAACAGGTCAGTAACATGATTGAGTATAAAAAAAAAGCATCCCAGAGATGCTGAGTCTTTCAGAAGTAAAGATGAAGAGGAGTTCACCACTCTGTGTGAGCAAATAGTGCAACAAATAAAGAATAACATTTCTCAACATAAAACAGCAAAGAACCTTTGCTTTTCATCATCTAGGTTCATATTATCATTAAAAGTTTCAGAGGATCTGGGTCCTCAGGCAGCACTGCATTAAAAACAGAAATTGATTCTGTAGTGGAAATCACTGCATGGACTCAAACACTTCTGAAGACCACTGTCTGTGAACACAGTTCATCACCTGCATCCATAAATGCATCAATGAATCAAACTCTAAAATGCAAAGAAGAAACCACATATAAACAGGATCCAGAAACGCTGCCACCTTCTCTGGGCCCAAGCTTATTTAAAATGGACTGAGGGGAAGTGGAAAAGTGTCCTGTGGTCTGATGAGTCAATATTTGAAATTCTTTTTGGAAATCATGGACACTATATCCTCTGGGCTAAAGACCACTCAGCTTATCATTAGTGCACAGTTCAAAAGCCAGTATTCATGATGGTATAGGGGCGCATTAATGCACATGGCATGGGTGACTGGCACCTCTGTGAAGGCACCATTAATGCTGAATGATATATACAGGTTTTGGCAACATGCTGCCATCCTGGTGACGTCTTTTTCGGTGAAGGATTATTTCAGCAAAACAATGTCAAACCACATTCTGCATGTATTACAACAGTATTGCTCTGTATTAAAAAAGTCTGAGTGCTAAACTGACCTGCCTGCACTCCAGACCTGTGACCCACTGAAAACATTTGGTGTGTTATGAAATTATGACAAAGGAGACTCTGAACTGTTGAGCAGCTGAAATCCTGTATCAAGCAAGAATGGGAAAACATTTCACTTTCAAAACTTCGGTTCCCAAATGTTTACAGAGTGTAGGTAAAAGAAGAGGTGATGGAAACATAGTCGTAAACATGCCCCGTCCCAACTTTTTGAAAACGTGTTGTTGGCATCAAATTCAAAATGGTCATATATTTTTCAGAAAACAATACAGTTTCTCAGTTTTTTTATTTACATTCTGCACAGCGTCCCAACTTTTTTGGCAATGGGGTTGTATTTACGTAGCTTATGAGTGATTTTTGAAGCAAATAAATTACGATTTTGGCATGGATTTACAGAGGAGAATTTGATGAGTCCAAGCCCAGAGTTTGTTAGCAACGTCAGCCTAGCATCTCTCATTGTAAAATAGAGAAATATTTGTCAGATATCAAATATGTCTTGGCTTATCAACTGAATCTGGGGTAATTGATAAATCATTTTTCAGTTCAACTTATGTTTTATGTCCCTGCAACATATGTATTTTAAGTGGTTAAAGTGTTTATTTCTGGCTTTCATACTTAGGAGATAATTCTGTAATTGTTTGCCGGTTGTCTACTCAACTCACTGGTCTACAAGCCTTTATCACTCTGGAAAGGAATGGGGTGTCCGTATGACTTCCTGTGAACTCTTTTTGTTTTTACTGGCCCTTTGATACTCTGCCCATCTCATTTATGATCATTTACACCATTCCTTGGACTAATAAACACTCACAAAACTCCATTGTCTATTGCTGTTATGTATATCCTCTAGGTCCTAAAATGCTTGGTATTAAAAATGATGAGAAAAATCAAGCTCTCAAGTATGTGTTGAATATTCAGTAAATCTGAACTTCACCTTGTCAGCATTCAGGCGTTTTCTTGGTTCCATGATGAACACACTCTGATCCACAGCACTGAGTCCACACAGTGAACCAGGCAGAGTTGAGAGCTGGAGAGTGTTTTCCTCACCAGGAACTGCCTCAGTGGGAGAGAACTGCAGTGAGACCTGAAGATCATGATGGAAACAAGTTTAGAGTGATTTATCTTTTTCACAATAATTCTGAGAAAAGACACTGATTAATTAATTAATGCTAACACTTACATGAAAATATGCAAACATACCAAATATATGAAAGTGTGTTATATCACCTTGTTTCTGAAGCATTTTTCAACATTAAAATTCTTGCTAGCAGCGATGATGTTTTCACTGGGCAGCACACAGTACACCAGAACCTGGGCTACAGGAGCCAGTTCAGCATCAACAGACAGTCTGAATGAGACTTTTCCCTCAGTGAGCTTTTTGGATTCTTTCACCTCAACTTTCTCATAACCATGATGGACTATGGCTCCTTTAGACAAGACCTGCACCAAAGAACCAAAATTCATCATAATGACAAAGAATCAACAACATTTCATTTAAAACTATCTAAATACAGGAAACGTATGTACTTACCATGTATATAATATCAGTGCTGTAATTCTCTGTAGTTTCTCCAGCAATGTAGTACTTAACATTTATGGACATTTTAGTACCACATGGAATCGGTTCCTTCAAGCTCTCTATTGATAATTCACCGTAAGGTGTAGCAGGTGGGAGGATTGGTATAATCACGTAACTGTCTGCAAAGAAAAGTCTTCTGTATGTTTGAAATTCATCATCTGGACAGACACGTGCCTAGAAAACAGTGAGACAGGATTTTGTTTCAGTAAATGACAGCATAGACACATTTTCTGAAAATATTTGGTCATCATTACCGTACCAGCAGAAAAATCTCTGTTTGAGGGAGATCAGGGGCATTAATTGTGAAGCTGACCAATCCATTAATATCTGTTGTAAGAGGTAGCTCTTGAAATCCTTGACCTCCCATAAGACATACTTTCTTGTTAGGTATTGGTTTTCCATTGAAGTTTGTAACTTTGATCTGTTTATTGTTGAAAGAACATTTGTTATCAAATTGTCAATTTCAAAACAGTAAAAACCTTACAAAGCATAAAGAATATAAGACGTCAAGGACATTTGAATGTGAAAACACTCACCTTTCCCTTTATAACTGTGTCCCGTTCAATGTGTTTTGGTAAATCAAGAAACTCAGTTTTACCAATTTCATAAGTAAGCTGTATGCGTTCTGGTTTTATGATGGAAATATCTAGAATAAAATAAAGCGGCAAAATTGCATTACTTGCTACATATAAAAATAAATGCACTTCAGTTTGATAGTCTGTTTCAAAGTCAGCAGACAGGCTATGGTATTAACTCACCTGTTCCTTCCTCTGTCACTGTAATAGTAGCAGCTAAATAATTTTCCAAATAAGGCTGAAATTCAGGATAAGTGAAAGATGACATGTTGAAGACAGCAGAGGCACAGCCAGACTCATTCATCTACAAGCCAAACCACAAAAACAAATGCTGTTACTACATGTATAAAACTGGTAGCAATTTCTCACTAGAAGCTGATTAGAAGAGGACGCTGCTTATCCTCCTGGGTCGCGGGGGTGCTGGTGCTGGAGGCAGAGGGCAGGAAACACCCTGGACAGGTTGCCAGTCCATCACAGGGCAGACACACTTACATTCACATTCACACATAAGAAGAGGAATTACTGAAGAACATTATATTATTCTAATGAACTCTTGGAGAAAACAATGATGGTTAGAACTATTTAATCTAATGAGAAAGATGTTCACTGCAGAAGAGTTTCTTTGTTGTATTTCAGTTGAGTTTCAGTCACTCTGACCACAGAAGGACAGAATCTCACCTCTCACGGAGAATTTGAACTGACTGGCCGAGGCACTGTCCAATGGGAAACAATTGTATATCAAGCTAATTGCTAGTAGCATGCAGTTGCATCTCTACTTACCAATAAGCTTCTCAAAAAAGATATGGGCCTAGAGCGACAGACAGAGTGATTGAAAAACAAATACTACAGTGGAAAAACGTGAAACACAATACACACACGACATTACGTGAGGATTTGCATTGTAAAATGAAATGCTGAATTCCTGTTGGAATTGAATACAATCTGAAATGTAATAAAGGCATGAGTATTTTGCTTTCCACTGTGCTCTACTTAAAACAACGTTAAATCAATGTAATGGATCTTTTACTTTTCATTTTGGTGTGTTTTCCACTTGTTACTGTTTAAATACAATCTCATCTGCATTGCATTTTTGGTTGTATTTCAATAAAAAAAATACATTTGAAGTGCAAAAAAAGAGGTCAAGTCACATGAAAACAATGTAAAAGGCTTTGCTTTCCATTTTGGCTTGTATTCTGCATTTCATCTATGGAAAAGTCATATCGTGTGCATTGTATTTCACTGTTTTGTCTGTTATGATCGCATTTCAATGAGGAAAATCCATTTAAAGTACTGCATAGTGGAAAGCAATATAGTTATGCATTCATTATATTTTGAAGTGGATTGTATTTAATTCTGATGTGAATTCAGCATTTCCACTTAGGGATTTGTTTAGCAGAAAAACTGGTTTCTGTTTTCCGTTCACTGCAGTCTTTACCACCACTGTCCTCAATTGCTGCCCACAACGGCGACTAGTTTTCATCAACTAGTCTATGTAAGCCCTTTAACACATACTTACACACCTGCACTGTTTCATCCAGGCATGATGAGATCAATGGGATATACTCCTGATAATGCTGTGTAGCGCACACTTTCACCAGTGCTTTACCAGGTACTGGCTGTCCATAAGTGTACCTTCAAAAATAAGCAAACTTTGAACTAAGTAGAAAACGAATGGGGTAAAGGCAGGCAATGTCATTTGTATTGCATTAACTTTGTATCATATTTACATAATTTACATGCAGATATTACAGATGTTCCATTTGGTTGTACTAAAATCCAATTGATTATGTTTAAAGATGGCCAAAAGATTGAAAACTTAATACTTAAAACTTAATATTTCTGCTTTCATGTTGAGTGCTTGTGGTTTACTCTTGAAAGAGTGACTCACTTTGCACAAAGCTCTATCTTCAGTTCCTCCTCTCCAACACTCTGTTGTTCTGGTGTTTTCACTGTAACCTCAAACCTGGGTAAAACTAAAAGACAGATGGAATCTGTTATTACAGTAAATTGCGCTGATTATTACCAACAGAAAAGTTAATGTTCTAGTGCTGTCACTTACCGTACTTCTTCACCTCAAAGTAATGTCTGGTTTCTCTATCCGCAATGTTAGCCTGCAGTTGATAATGGCCCTCAGGAGCCTCAGGATTCAGTTTGTGAGAAAGCTGCACTATCAGGCCTGTTGAGGACACATTTGTCCACTGACCGATCCTGTTACCATTATTATCCTGTTTGGTTCCACAAAAAGAGGAAGAATTTTTAATGATATTCATTGCAGTGACAGTATTAGGAGGAACAAAAAAAGATTACAGACTTTTTTATTAGGAGTTTTAAAATGAAGATGTGTTTCCATTTTCTTACCTCAAGAGCCAATAAGTTGTACTGTAAGGGACAATAGAACTGCATGTCACATTGTGTCATTTTGATTAATAAATGTCATTTTCCATAGTATAATAAAAACCTCTGAAAAGCATTTAACACATCAACAACTAAAATGGGTTGATTTAACAGATAGATGTTTTTTTTTGTTTTTTTTTACAAATATTGCATTGGAGAGGCTTCTTGTGTGTAATATATCTAATATATAAGTCAACCAAATTCAATCTTAGACAGAATTTCATAATTAATTGTTTTTTTGAATTGTGACCATTTCTTTAACACTGGTTTACCTTTACAGTCAAGGAAAAGCTCTTACCGCTTGTATAAGGGGGATAAAGTTTTTATCCATAGTGACAACTCTGAAATTCACTGTTTGAAAGTACATTAACAAAGAAATATCACATTCTGAGATGTATGATCAGTAATAATTACTTTGCCATTAAACTGTGTTGCAGAAATGATGAATTACCTGTTTGGCTGGGGTTGTAGATTGGTTTATCAGTCTGAATGAATGTCAGTGGGTTGTAGGATTTAAACATGACTTTTCTTCTCTGTGTTCTCTGATACCTTTCACCTTTGATCTCTACTCTGATCTCCTGCACTGACTCACCCTCAACCTGTGGAGCCTGTGGAGATCACATGTTGAGCTATTTTCCACATTCAGACACATCAAACACTAAAAAAAAAACAAAAAAACAAGATAAATAATCTTGGTTTCTGACCTTAAACTGAGAGCAGCGGTGAAATTCTTCCTCCACTCTCTCCTGTAGAATTATTCTGTTCTGGTTGTTGTGAACCCGATAAATAGTCATTAGCAAAGTTTCTTCAGGGTTCAGAAAACTCATACACAGTGTAGCCTCAGATCCAGACTCTATCACTGCAGGAAACGTCACCATGAAATACCTAAAGACAAAAGGTAGTAATTTTAAAGATGATGTCCTGATTAACACGAGTTTAGAGGTGTAATATAAAACTTTACTGAACGAATGTGAGTTATGGATAAGAATGTTATTCAAAGAAATAGTTCAGTAAAAGAAAAAAAGAAAAAATGTACCGTCAAGTCTCCACATATTTGGACAGTGACACAAATTTAGGAATTTTGCAATTAAGCAATTAAACTGTAGAGTAGATTGAAGTGTAGACCTTTAGCTTTAATTTAAGGGTTTAATAAAAATATTGCATTAACCGTTTGCATGCAGGGATTATCTTTAATACTTCAATGCAAGTCTTTTGTAGTCAATGACTGCCTGAAGTCTGGAACCCATGGACATCACAAAATGCTGAGTTCCTCCCTTAAGATGCCTTGCCAGGCCTTTACTGCAGCTGCCTTTAGTTGCTGCTTGTTTGTGGGTCTTTCTGCCATCAGTCTTCAATAAGTGAAAAGCATGCTCAGTTGGGTTGAGGTCAGGTGACTGACAACTGACAAAAGTTGGGAGGATTAAGCCATTTTATAGTGTTTAAATATATCAACCTCCTGGTCCAGCCGGTCAGTTTTTACTCACTTTCTGACTTATTAAGGTGGACAAAGTGATTTTAGTTGGAGATTTTAACTTGCATATAGATGATGCCACAGATGTGTGGCCACTGAATTTCTTAATATTACTGAATCTTTTCATTTCAAGCAACGTGTCTCAGGTGCCAGTCACACAGGTAGCCATACCTGGGACCTTTATTTTTTCTCTGGGATTAGATATTGATCATGTCTGTGGTGAGGACCTTTTGATCAGTGTTCATAAATACATTTTTTAATCTCTCTGTAAATACTGATGGGCTGCATGGTGGTGCAGTGGGTAGCGCTGTCTGGGGTCCTTTATGTTGATGGATGAAGTAGTACTGTTAAAGGCCAGGACTAGGACTATCTGCAGTACTTCTCTGTGGATGACGGATGTCTGCTGCTTGAGACAAAAGTGTCGCAGGACTGACCAACTATGGAAAGCCACTGGGCTAGAGGTGCATTTCTTTTAATGTATTAGTAAAGGAAGCTTGGTTTGCTTACTTTGCTAACTTAATTTCTTCTTCTAGGAGAAATCCTAAGATCTTGTTTGATACCATAAGTAATATTGTTTGACCACCTCTTTCTACATAATCATGTTTTTCTGTTAATGATTATAGCGAGTTTCTTACTTTCTTTGTTGATAAGGTGATGGCAATTAGGTCCAGTATTCAGTCTGTGACTTGCTTATCCAAAATTAGCCCCCACTGCACCTCTTATTGTTCTGGACTGTTTCCAACCTATCAGCTCAGAAGGTCTGACAGATTTGATTAGGGAAATGAAGCCATCTTCTAGCCCTCTGGATGTAATACCATCTTCACTACTTTTAAAAGTTTTACCAATTATTAGCCCCACAGTATAAGTTAATATTAATTCTTCATTATCTACAGGACGTGTCCCATCGTATTTCAAACAGGCTACTATCCAGCCATTAGTTAAGAAACCTAATGTAGACCCTGCTGTGCCTAAGAACTACAGGCCTATATCTGAACTTTCTAACTATTTTTATCAAAAATCTTAGAAAAGGTTGTGGCTAAAAAACTCACTGCTGCATTGGGGAAGCACAATATCTCTGACAAGATTTAGTCTGGGTTTTGGAAACAGCACTCTGAGACTGCTCTTTTGAAGGTTTCAAATGATATTTTAATGTCCTCTGTTGCGGGTGACTGTCCTGTGTTAGTACTACTTGACCTTTGCTCTGCATTTGATACAGTAGATCATTTTATCCTGATTAAGAGGTTACGAGACTGGGTGGTCATATCAGGCATAGCATTAGACTGCTTTATATCTTATCTCACTGGGAGTTTTACCTTGACTGTTGGTCACTCTGTGTCTGATTCCTCTCCATTATCCTGTGGTATTCTGCAGGGTTCAGTTCTAGGGCCTCTGTTATTTTCATTATATTTGCTGTCCCTGGGACAGATTATAAAAAGCTTCAATATTGCACATCACTTATTTGCAGATGATATCCAGCTCTACATTTCTTTTAAACCTTGTGAAGTTCTTAGATTATCTAGTCTCCTAGATTGCCTAAATGCTATTAAGGATTGGACAGTGGAGAATTACTTACAGCTAAATGCGAATAAGACAGAGGTTTTGATTATTGCTTCAGAAAAGGTAACCCCTATGATTAAACAAAGTCTGGGCTTGTCTCCTCTGCTGCCCATTCTAGCTTTCGTAATTTAGGGGTTATTTTTGATTAATCCTTGTTGTTCGATATCTATATTAAGCAGCTGACCAGATCTTGTTTTTTCCATTTAAGAAATATTAGTAAACTGAGATCTGTAGTTTCAACTGCTGAGTTACAGAAGCTTGTACACACCTTTATTTCATCTCATATTGATTAATGTAATGCTCTTTTTGGCTCACTTAGTATGTCTTCCCTTAATCATCTGCAGGCAATTCAGAACGCTGCTGCATGACTACTTGCTAAGTCTAATAGAAGGTCTCATATAACCTCTTTGTTAATATCTCTTCACTGGCTTCCAGCTGCATATAGGATCCAGTTTAAAACTCTTACCTATAGAGCAATGCATGGTCAAGCTCCTGCAAATGTGGCTGATTTACTTCACCCTTGTTTATCAATTTGTTCTCTTAGGTCTAACAAGTTAAATTTACTGTCTGTTCTTCAAACCAGCTCCCATGGTGATTGAGCATTTGAAGTCATAGCACCTGAACTGTGGAACTCTCTGCCCACTCCTTTAAGGTCTACTGATTTTGTGGTATCTTTTAAAAGCAGCTAAAGATAATTTTTTTTAAACAGGCGTTTGGCTAATTTGTGTGCACCAGGTCTGCATTTTATGTGTATGTTGTTGTGTCTGCAATCTTTAGTGTAGTGTAATGTTTTCTGTAAAGCAATTTTTGACTTTTGTCTATAAGAAGTGCTACATAAATAAACTTTACTTACTTACTTGCTTACTTACTTAGGTTGTTTTCGTTTTGCACAGTACATCATCCATTTGTACTGTGCACTGTCCTATCAGTTTTGCATGCTTTAACTAAATCTGAGCAGAAAGTACAATTCTATACACTTCAGAATTCATCCTGCTACTTCTATCAGCAGTCACATCATTAAACAACTGTGGCCCAGTTCCATTGGCAGCCATACATCCCAAAGCCATAACGTTACCTCCACCATGTTTGACAGATGATGTTGTATGCTTTGGATCATGAGCCCTTCCTTTCCTTTTCCATAGTCTTCTGGGAACATCATTCTGGTACAAGTTAATCTTGGTTTCATCTGTCCAAGGAATCCTGTTCCAGAACTGGGTAGGCCTTTTTAGATATTTTGTAGCAAAGTGTAATCTGCCCTTTGTATTCTCGAGTCTTACCAGTGATTTGCACCTTGAGGTAAATCCTTTGTATTTACATTCATGAAGGCCTTTCTTGATTGTAGTCTTTGACAAATATATGTCAACCTCCTCTAGAATGTTGTTGACTTGACTAGATGTTGTGAAGGGGTTTTTCTTCACCACGGCATAAATTCTGGTCTTCTAGGCCTCTTGGCGTTGTGGAGCTCACCCATTCATTCCTTCCTTTTGAGAATGTAACAGATGGCCACTCCTAAGGTTTCTGCTATCTCTCTGTTAGGTTTGTTTTACAACCCCATTTCCAAAACAGTTGGGCCGCTGTGCAGAATGTAAATCAAAATAGAATGCAATGATATGCAAATCATGTGAACCATATTTGTGAAGGAAAATACTACAAAGACATCAAATGTTGAAACTGAGATTAAATATATGCCCATTTTGAATTTTTTGCAGACTGCACGTTTCAAAAAAGTTGGGACGGGGGCATGTTTACTACTGTGTTTCATCACCTCTTCTTTAAACAAAACTGTAAGCATTTGGGAACTGAGGAGACCATTTGCTGTAGTTTTGAAATTTAAAGGTTTTCCCATTCATGTATGATACAGAATTTCAGCTTCTCAAAAGTGCTGGATCCCTTTTGTTGTATTTTTCATTTTATAATGTGCTAAATGTTTTCAGTGGTGACAGGTCTGCAATGCAGGCAGGCCAATTTAGCACCCAGACTCTTTTAATACAGAGCAATGCTGTTGTAATACATGCAGAATGTGGTTTGACATTGTCTTCATGAAATAAGCAAGGCCTTCCCTGAAGAAGATGACGTCTGGATGGCAGCATATGTTGCCAAAACCTGTATATATCGTTCAGCATTTATGATGCTTTCACAGATGTGCAGATCACCCATAATCTAATGCACCACTATACCCTCACGAATATTGGCTTTTGAACTGTGCACTGATAACAAGCTGAGTGGTCTTTAGCCCAGAGGATACAGTCTGCATGATTTCCAAAAAGAATTTTACATTTTGATTTGTCAGCTCACAGAACACTTTTCCACTTTCCATCAGTCCATTTTAAAAGAGCTCATGCCCAGAAAATGTGGCAGCGTTTCTGGATCCTGTTTATGTAAGGTTTCTTCTTTGCGTTTTAGAGATTTAACGTGCATTTGTGGATGCAGTGACAAACTGTTTTCATAGACAAAGGTCTTCAGAAGAGTTTTTGAGCCCATGCAGTGATTTCCACTGCAGAATCATGTATGTTTTTAATGCAGTGCCACCTGAGGTCCCAAAGATCATGACCTGCATATACTAGTTTTCGGCCTTGTCCCACAGATTTCTCCAGATTCTCTGAATCTTTTCAATGTTATTTTGTACAGTAGATGATGCAGAGCAAAAGTTCTTTGCTGTTTTATGTTGAGAAATGTTATTCTTGAATTGTTGCACTATTTGATCATACAGTCTTTCACAGAGTGGTGAACCCCTCCTCATTTTTATTTCTGAAAGACTCAGCCCCTCTGGGATGCTTTTTTATACCCAGTCATGTTACTGACCTGTTGCCAATCAAACACCAGGTGTTTTTTAGCATTACACAAATTTACCAGCCTTTTGTTTCCCCGTCCCAACGTTTTTGGAACGTGTTGTTGGCATCAAATTCTAAATGGGCAAATATTTTACAAAAAACAATAAAATTTCTCACTTTCAACATTGGATATGTTGTCTATTTTATGTTGTGTTGTACTATTGTCAGTTAAATATAGGGATGAAATGATTTGCAAATCATTGCATTTTGTTTTTATTTACATTTTTCACAGGATCCCAACTTTTTTGGAAATGGGGTTGTACATGGATCAACAGTGAATACTATTGCAAAAGTGTGGACTGAGTGGACCCAAAGATAAAGAGCCCAAACAATGTACGTGCAATGTGCGATCAATATAACGGTTGTGTAATCTGTCCTACACTTTGGAGAACCTCAACTAACACAAAAAAAAAATAATTACAATATCATCTATGAAAGATCTAAATCTACTAGATGCTGCAACATGTCACCAAAAGCACCATGTAATAATGAAAATGTTCAAATTGGCCATGAACTCCAAGTTTGTTCTAAATGTGAAAATACTAAAAGGTGTGATGAATGCAAAACCAGCCATCGTGATTTCCTACTAAAATAAAATCACCTACAAAACAAAATCCTAACATACATTACATAGTAAATTTTGTGTGTTTAGGTTGTAATACAACATACAACTGGAATTGTTTTCTGTTCTAATATACATCACATTTTAGAATGCAGCTTGTAAGACATAAAAAAGTTGTAGTGAACATTTTTACAGATCCAACATACAAATATACTTTTTTTTTATATAGCCTACTATGTTTTTATACAGCAGCTTTGGTATTTGTGAAATGATATTAAGCCACTGTTGCTTAAGGTGGAATGAGCCTGAAACTGGACAAATATTCAAAGTCAACAATAAAAACCCAGTTGGGTAGATTGTATTGAAAAGAAAGCATGTTTAACATTATTACCATATGGTTATATTACAGTATGACACAAAATAAAGCATGTCATCTTTTGGTGTTACTTACAGTCCTGAAGTTTGTCCATAGACACAGAGAAAGAGGAAGCAGGCTAACAGTAGCCTTTTACTAATGTGAATCCTGCTGACAACCATGATGAAGTCTGGTCACCAACAACAAGTCAAGAAGTTCAGCAGCCTGTTTAAAAGATCATTCAGCCCACAGGAGATTCTCATCAATGATTAATCAATTCCTTTTGACTGAATTGAAAACTTATACCATAAGCAATAATATATCCATATGTGGGAAGTTGAAATGTAGTATATTCAAAGTCCAAAAACGTTAAACATTTACAGTTGCTTGAAAAGGTTTGGGTGCCCCTGGGCAAATTTCATGTTTTGTTGATTTTGGAAGTGACAGTCATGCATTCACAGAAATCCATCTATCAGAGATCAGCTTTCCTGTAATACTGAGAACTAGTCTCACTGTTTCACATGTCCTCATCAGTCAGCCTTTTTATACCTGGACTCATGTAACTACAACTACTGGGCAATCGTGAGTTGCTGGCAATTAAATTGGCATTAGAGGAATGGCACCATTAGTTAGAGGGGGCAAACCATTCTTTTATGGTGCTGACACGTCATTGGAATCTGGATTACCTTCACAAATCAAAGAGACTATATTCCAGACAAGCAAGGTGGGCAATGTTCTTTTCATGCTTTCACTTTGTAATCGCACACAGACCAGGGGTCTCATAATGGCAAAGCTGATGGCATAATGGCAAAGGTCTCACTTGTCTCAATTAAGTTCAATGTAAACAATACCACCATATGAAAAACACTGGGCAAAATTGGCATCCATGGGAGAGTTACAAGGCGCAAACCACTGCTGACCAAATAAACACAAAGGCTCATCTCACACTTGCCAAAAACCATCAAGATGACCCCCAAGACTTTTGCGATAATATTTTGTGGACTGATGAGTCAAAGGTGAAACTTTTTTGGAAAGCATGGGTCCCGTTACATCTGGCATAAAGCTGCATTCCAGCATAAGAACTTCATACCAACATGGTCGTACTGAGTGTGATTGTCTGGGGTTGCTTTGCTTCTGCAGGACCTTGAACTCTGCTCTCTGTCAGGAAATCCCCAAGGAAAATGCCTGCCTGTCTGTTTGTGACCTAAAGCTCAAGCGCAGTTGGGTTATGCAGCAGGACAATGATTTGAAGCACACAAGCAAGTCCACCTCTGAATGGCTCAAATAAAAAACAAAAGTAAGGTTTTGTAGTGGCTGAGTCAAATTCCTGACTTGAATCCCATTGAGATGTTGTGGCAAGACCTTCAACAGGCAGTTCATGCTCGAAAACCCTCCAATGTAGCCAAATTAAAACAATTCTGCAAAGAGTGGGCCAAAATTCCTCCACAGCAATGTGAAAGACTCATCGCAATTATTGCAAATGTTTGACTGCAGTTGTTACTACCAAGGGTGGCTTTTTAGGTTTTAGGTGGCTAATTAGGTTACCATATGGGGCAAAACATTTTTTTTTGTTTTTGTTTTTTTTTAATAAATGTTTATCTTCCAAAAATGAAATGATCTTTGAAAAACTGCAAGTTTTGTTTTTCGTGTTATCTTTATCTTACATTACGATTCCTTTTATGATCTGAAATATTTAACTGTGACAAATTAGCAAAAATACTGGATGTGTTGGCAAAAATGCTACTAAATTCTGTGGAAAGGGAGTTTCTTAGGTACGGAGATACTCAAAGAAGCATTTATTTGTGCTCTCTTATGAAGCTATAGTCGGCAAGAATGTAACTGCTGCACTATTTAAGGTGGAACCGGAAAAAAATGAACTAGAAGCAGGCAAATAGAAAGCTGACTTCAGCCTCATTGTTCTCTATAGCAAAAAATCAGGCAGATTTGTAATGTTACTCTCCTGCCTTACATGGTCAACTCAGAACATTTATAAATTACAGAATTTTTTTTTTTTTGCACTGAAGCTGACTGTTGTGAATTGACAAGCTAATGGAGATGCTTATGAAGCACTGCATTTACTTAAGTCAAGGGTAAACGAAATAATGAAAAGATTAAATGTTTCGATATGTTTTCTTCTCTTCTCTGGAGTGAAGGTGGCAAGTAAATCAAGTAACTGCTCCACAGTAACACAGAAGCACAGGTTCTTATCTCATAAATAGTTATTAACATTATTAATTATTACTACATATTTCAGCCTGATATGTTTGTTTGTTAATTTTGAAATTATTTTAGAAGTCAGCATAATAATAACAATCAATTCCGCAGTGTATTATCCTTGCTCTGTTTGGGTGCCTTTACATGCATTCAATAATCTGATCATAAATGGATTTCTGCAGTTATCTGATTATTCAAATGGTCATGTAAACAGCAAATGCCGATTGCTTATTTCGGAGTAAGGTCTAGAAATCTGATTAAGAAATCCGATAAAGAGAGTTGGATTTTAGTACAATAATCAGATTTCTCAGTGTATGTAAACTCTTACTCTGATTTCTTTGAGATTTCTCAGTCTGTGCATGTGTGAAACAGACCACAGTACCAGAAATAAGCAAGCAGTGTTTCCCACGAGATGGCAGCAAAACACTTTTGGAGTGATGCTGAAACCAACTACATGCTTAACAAAATGAAAGATTTAAAAACCACGGCATGAATTTTGAGTTTCACATTTCTTCCAAAAGTAAGCTCATATGTAAAATGTAAGTGTGACTTTCTGGAAAATTCCTACAGGCTTAACAATAAACTGCATCTTTTTACTTACTGTGTTCAATCCATTTGAACTAATTCTGCTATTTTAAAGAACAACAGTGGGGTTTTCCTGAAATTACAGTTGGCTGGTATGCCTAGAGCATTGGCTGAGTAGGAAGCTCACTGATGGTGGACACCCCTAATAAAGGCTCTGTTTAGATCAGTCGATTCCTTTCTGGAACTTTGGGGTTCTTAACTCAGTGCTGTATGCAGTCTGAATTGGCCTGGGATCAATCTTACCCATGCTTACCCTGCTGTCACACTATATAGTATGGATGTATGCCATTTCAGACACAGCCATTTGATTCTCTTAGGGCATGATTTGGTAGTTTTTGTTATGATTTAGTTTTTACTTTTGGTATGGTTTGGTAGTTCTGGTATGGTTTGATCATGTGTTTACAGCCTATAAATGCTTTGTTGTTAAAAAAATCATAAAAATGATAAAGCTTAACCATGCAAAATAGTATAAAGGCTACTGACACTGTAGTTAATCTCGTTTATGTTAGTAACTGTTCATGTTTTGTAAGGGAATGTGTTACATGCTTAGAAGGTCATTATCAGTTTAACAAGAATGTGGGAAAAGATCTACCTTAGAATGTTTGGTCCTACTTTATATTAAGTGTCCCTAAATGTGTCTTAACTTTAACAATAAATGCCACAACAATGTAAATACTGGTTAAAGTATTCACTGTTACAGATGGATCACAGTAGTACCAACTTTCCTAACATTTAGCTAGCTGTAGTTGTATGCTTGACATAGTAACCAAAGTTTTGGCTTTAAAACATTCTCTTATATGTGATCTTGTATTTATATCACAACAGCAGATGTCTTTTTGTCTTTTTTGCTGTGATCTAATCAGGTTGTCATGTTACAACACAAAAATTCCACAGCAAATCTATAAAAACTAAACTTTAAAATGAACAGACAGTATATATGCAAATATAGTGTACTCACAATGTATGCAATTACATACCTCTTGTTACAATCAGAAAGGTCTTATTAGTAAAACAGCAGTTCATACAAATGTAATTACATAAGATATAATACGCTGTTACAACTGTCAAGATGTACTTGTGTAATTACATAAGTAAATCTGAAGTTGATGCATATGCATATTTACAAAAGCTGTACTACTGTAATCCACCTGTAATCAGGAGTACATCACTAGTAGTTACATTGCTGTTGCATGCATTCTTAATGTGTAACAATACTGCTATTAGAAACAGTATAAAGTGTATAAAGTGTGACAATGTTCTAAAGTCAGACAAAATATCAGGATTGATTAAGGACACGGACTACTGTTACACATTAAACATTTAAACTTATTAAAATAAAACTAATTCATATAGATTACTATAATTAACTTTGTGCATCTTAAAGCAGAGGATGGTGTGTTTTTGTACAGTTAAATTGTCCAACATGATTAACATTCACAACAAATGTAAACTCAAGCCAAGCTCTGTTTCTTTTGTTTAACTGCCATGAGGAAAATGGTGAGTTAGCCTGCTAAGTTTCTTCAGTTAGACTAGAGTTTGTGTTGAAAAAAAGCATATTGATGTTACTGATTGCTTGTTTGTAATATCTAGCTTCAACTCAATGACTCAATTGTGAGTCAATTGGTGCTAAATCCAAGTGAAGTCGCAAGTCTTTTATGATTTTATCTAGTCATCGAATCCGAGTCCAAATCTCTGAAAACAAGCTTTTGTAATTGTGTATAACGGTTACATCAGTGCTTGAGGGCTCCCCGTTTCACCTTCAGAGCTCTTTCCTGTTATCTTTCCACAGCGGGTCTTGTTTTGTGTATTCATTGTTTATTTCAGACAACATCTCTGTTGTAGTTACCTTGGACTTTTTGGAATATCTAGATTTTAGACTATTTGCATTGTTTTCTGGGGTTTTTGGCCTGGAATGTGTATTAAACTGGTTTTTGAATGTTAATTTTGTCCTTTTATTTCACTGGTTACAACAACAAAGCAGCACATGAGTTGCTTGACATCCATATTTATTGATAAAAAATAGTGTTATTCTGTTTCTCTTGAGAACAGAAAAAAAAGATATATAGACAGTGTCAGTGTTTACTGTGTCTCATACTGTGAGGCTGCAGGTCTGAGTGCTCACACACAGGGGGAGGAGTACTCTGTCTCAGACTGGTCACCTGAATGAAAGAGGTATTAAATTTCAGTAAATAAAAGCAATGCAATTACCTGAATAGTGAGTCATAAAGCCCAGGAAAATCTTACTTGTTTGGTAGTAATCATAAACTTTGATCACAGCTGGTTTGAGGTTCTTGACTGGAAGCACCTGTTTAAGATGTAGCTGATAATTTATAGGAATATCCTTTGGCACCTGTTGAAACACACGACATTGTACTTTAAAAATGTTCCATGGTACATGTTCAGTTTGCTGTAGAAATCAGACTCTTTTTGTTTCGCACAATGTTTAAACAAGAACTTTTTTAATTTACCATTCTCAACAGTGATCATGTTCATGCCTCATATATACAAACAGATGACACATTAAAGGAAAGAC